GGGGGGGGGGGGGGGGGGGGGGGGGGGGGGGGGAGTGGAGGTGCGAAATTTTGCTCAGGAAGAACAAAAAAATTCGACTGCTAAAAAACTGGAAAAAAATCTAAAATTCAACGACTGGAAGCCAAAGTCAAGCGGAAGTGAGAACCGCTTTAAAAAGCTTTTTGGTTTTCCCGGCGGAAGTGCCGAGTTAGGGATCAAATTTACAAGGAGAAAATGAAGAGAGGAGCTGCAGAGAAGTCTACCCATTTTGGCCAGGAAGCGGTGGCAAGCACTTCGTTTTTGAGATATCACTAATTTTCCTTGCAATGAACATTCTCAGAAGTTTTGAGTTGTCGTCACAAGATTTAACAGAAGCAGGAACCTTCAAACAGACGAAAACGGGTGAGTAATCAACATGCCATTCTCTAGTTATAAATATTACAGGAAATTTACATAGATCTAAACGATTCAAAACAGTCACCAGGGGTAATGTCGGACCGTCGAAAATATCAACGTTTTCGGAAAAAACAGTTCATCTGCGACATATGCAGCAGTGGGTTCACGTTGAAGCACAACCTCCGAACACACCTGTACACCTATCATCCAAATAATGAAATCCTTCAGCCACGACGTTGCGGTAGACGGTACCAGTGCACTAAATGCCAAATGGTAGGTGCAAATAGCAATTGACTATTCTTCAGTAGTTCAGGACACTTATATGGCAAAGCCACCGGGCAGCGCAACTAAGCTAGCGCGCCAGAACTTCAGTTCTTTCTTCTGCAACAATCATCCAATAAAAGTTCCAGTTCCAAACCTTTTTGCCTCTCTTTTTTGTCCCACAGAAAGAGTTGATGTCTATTGAAATAGTATTGCGTTTTTTTTATTACAATTTTGACATCTTTTGGTCCTTAGTCATCGCACAATATGTGGACAAGAGTTTTTCTGATCCTCTTCTGCAAGCCACACTCTTGTCCTATTTCGATGTTTGATTATTTCCCATAGATATTTCGGAGAATCGAGGTCGCCATCCGACATCGAAACCGCGAACATCAAGTGCGCAAGCGACCTCAGTGTTACGAATGCAAGAGAGAATTCGTGACGATCCGTTTGCTTCGTGAACATTACGATTGTGTGCATCAGTTAGTTCTGCTCCATGGTTTTCGATGCGAAACCCATAAATAGTGGATGGCATCCGGCAATTTTATGCTTTTTTGCAAAACACTGTTTTGGTTTAACGCGACGAAAAGCACAAGACATCGTTGTTATTCTTTTACGAAGGCTTTTTGATAACATTTTTTGCCTCATGGCCAATTATGCGTTTTTGCATATATGCAAATGCGAAAACGCATATTGTGACGACGCATGGTGTGCGTGTGTATGTGTGTGTGTCCGGGTATTTCAACCCGGCACCCAAGCAACCTCCGGCGCCAAAATTCCGCCTAAAGGTTCCACGGCCAAGTGCCACCTCAGGACCGCGGCACTAACTCCCTTGCAAGTCTGGGCCCCGCGTACGAGAGGGTGAAAGTTTTGGCGGGATAATCGCTAGTTGCAGTTATGTTCCCAGTCCGCATAGAACACAAAGATTTAAAATCCAGCCTCCAAGCATGCGTGGTTGTCACGTACGGCCCCGTGAAGGTCCTTGGCGAGAAAATCGCTAACTTGAGATCCAGGAAAGCTGGGAGGCTGAAATTTTCACGGAATGTTTCTAGCATATGCACAACATAAATTTATCGAATTCAGCGTCTCGGTGTGCGTGGTCCTCAAATATGGCCCACGGAAATTTTTGGCGAGAAAATGGCTAACTCGAGAACTAACAAAGCTGGGAGGCTGAAATTTCCACGGAATGTTCCTAGTACATGGAGAATTTAAATTTAACAAATTCAGCCCCAGTCATCCGTGGTTATTGCGCACGGCCTTGTCAAATTTTTTGACAAGAAAATGGCTAACTCGGGAATCAGGAAAACTGGGGGGCTGAAATTTTCAGGGAACGTTCCCAGCACATGGACGACATAAATTTATCGAATCCAGCTCCTTGGTATGCGTGGTTCTCAGGTATGGCCCGAAGAAAATTTTTGACGGGAAAATGAAACCAAGAAAGCTGGGAGGCTGAAATTTTCAGGGAGTGCTGGGAACATATGTACAACATAAATTTATCGAATTCAGCCCATCTGTGTACGTGGTTCACACGTATGGCTTCGTAAAAATTTTTGGTGAAAAAATGGCTAACTCGGGAACTAGGAAAGCTGGAAAACTGGAATTTTAATGAAATTTTCCCTGTCCAAGTGCCGCATAATAATTAACTTCCCGAACTTCGAGCACTAGTATTTCACACATTCTAGCTACTGGGTTTCCAAACGGCCTCATTACAGCACGAATTACTGCACTGATCGCACAGGCCCGCCTGGTGCGTATCGCCAATGATTTTTGTTTTGTGTCGGGAATATTTTTGAATTACATTAAAAGCATTGAAGTTAAGGATTTCTGGCTCGCTCAATTCCAGAATTAACAGCTTGTACAAACACTCAGGATAACAATTCAGGAAACTGTGAATTGAAAGCTAATTTCTGAGCTTTCATGATGGCTGATCACAAAAATTTCGAGTTACTGGCTCTCTTTACTTTTAAGCTATAAAATTACAATATAGACTAACATGGCAGATCAAGGCATAGCCGTTTGGCAACATTTTTTGCCTTCTGGCTAATTTTTGCGTTTTGCCGGCAGTATTTTCTTCTTTTCTCTTTTTGCTCATTATGCATTTTTGCTGTGCAGCGCTATAGCGCTGCTACAGTGAGCAAAAATGCATATTGTCGAGAGGTCATCTGTGTATGTGTGTTTTGAAGCGAGTGAACTTTGTCACCCACTTTCGTCTCAGCAACTAGGAAAACTGGGAGGCTGAAATTTTGGATATATGTTCCTGCATCGTGTATCACCCTCTCGTTTTAACATCTTCCCCTATACGCGCCTAGAGCTCACGTACGGATCTCCAGAAGAAATATGCATATTTCTTTGGCGGGAAGTGATTTCGCGAATCAAGACAAGTGTAATAAATTGAGCATAGCATACCTACCTTGACAAATAAGTAATGCTTATTTAGACAAATATCAAAAGCAGCACGTGAGTTCACAGAAACATTTAGAAAATTGCGCCTGTTCAAATGCACGAAGTGTCCTGCAACATTTGGGCGACAGGGGTGTTTACGCCGCCACGATCTGATGTGCCACCAAAATTTCCGCCGCTATTGCCCGTACAAAAGCTGCACACATCCGGGTTTCAAGTGCTCCAAGGTATGCCATGTTTCTTTTTTTCCCGAAACAAGCACCAGCTAGGGAAAAGTGACCGTTATAAACACAATGTGCACCGTGCAACTAGGTAGGATAAAATTGCCACGTCAAGACCCTTCCCCTCTCCGGCCATCTCTCCTTATGTCACTCAAAAAAAGCAAACAAAAGTTAAAGTTTGGCTAAATAATATGATAAATGGCCAACGCACGAGCTGCCCGTGCGAAGATGCGTTTTTTGCACAGTTCCCTGCAGTTTTTGTCGCTACCGGCATCAGTTTTTCCGGCAAATGTTCCTAGCCAAACAAATTAAGACTGGCCGCCAGAACTGTCAGAAAGCACTCCCTTAAAATTTCGACTTTCTAGCTTTCCTAGCTCCTGAGCTACCACCTTACTGGAAAAAAACTTTCACGGGCCGTACATAGGTACCACGCATAGCCGATGTTTGGGTTTGAGCTGGTTGAGACTTAGGTGGATGGGGAACATCCTCCTAGTCTTTTAGCTCTTCAGGTTCCCGAGTTAGCAACTTACCCGAAAAAAACTTCGGCGGGCCCGTGCGTGGGTACCACGCATACCTTAGGGCTGGGTTTGAGCTCATTATCTAATTGGACGTCTCCCTAACATCTCCCTAAGATTTCAGCATTCTAGCTTCTCAGATCCCTAAGTTATGAACTTACCCGAAAAACTTTGGCAGGTCCGTACGCGGGTGCCACGCTTACCCCAAGACTGGGTTTGAGCTCATTAATACCCACTTGGACGGGGGACATTGCCCGAAAATTTCAGATTTCTGGCATCTCAGATCCCCGAGTTATGAACTTACTCGAAAAAAAATTTCACGGGCCGTACACGGGCACCACGCATACCCTGGTGCTGGATTTGAATTCAGTGAGACTTAGGTGAACGGGGAATATCCTCTTAAAATTATAGTCCTTCAGCTTTTCAAATTCCCGAGTTATCAACTTACCTGAAAAAAATTTTAGCGGACCCTTACGCGGGCACCACGCATACCCGGGGGCTGAGTTTAAGATCAGTGAAATTTAGGTGGATGTGGAATATCCTCTTAAAATTACAGTCCTTTAGCTCTTCAAATTCCCGAGTTATCAAATTACCCGAAAAAAACTTTGGCGGGCCCGCACGTGGATACCACGCTTACCCGGCGGCTGGGTTTGAGCTCCTCAGTACCTACCTAGACGGGGGATATCCCTTTAAAATTTCAGCTTTCTAGCATTACAGATCCCGAGTTATGAACTTACCCGAAAAAGATTTCGGCAGGCTCGTACGCGAGTACCACGCTTACCCGAAGGCTGGGTTTGAGCTCATTATGCTTTTTTACAGCTATGCAATGCGGAAAACATATATTGACGAGGGATTGTCTGTGTATGTATGTGTCTCTGTGTATCTGTGTGTCCGTGTGTGCGTCTGTACCGATTTTTCATCTCAAGACCCACGAAAGCTACAGGGCTGAAACTTTGGGAACTTAATCTATATGCACATACGAGCCCCAATCCCCAAAATGGGCGCCATTGCCCGCGTGGCACCCGCTTAAGAGTCCGCCAAAGTTTTTTACGGGTAAGTTCATAACTCGCAGACCTGAGAAGCTAAAAGGCTGAAATCTTAAGGAGATGTTCTCCGTCAAAGCAGGTATTAATGAGCTCAAATCCAGCCCCCGGATAAGCGTGGTACCCGCGTACGATCCCGCCAAAATCTTTTCCGGGCAGATTCATAATTCGGGGATCTGAGATGCTAGAAAGCTGAAAACTTGGGGTGATGTTCCTCGTCCAAGTGAGTATTAGTGAACTCAAACCCAGCCCCCGGGTACGCGTAGTACCTACGTACAGGCCCGTGAAAGTTTCGGGTAAGTTGCTAACTCGGGAACGTGAGGAGCTAGAAGACCAGAATTTTGAAGGGGTGTTTCGTGATAGTCCTGGCGGCCAGTCTGGAATTCTTTTAGCTAGAAACATCTGCCGGAAAAGCCAGTGCCATTAGTGACAAAAATCTGCAGGGAACTATGCAAAAAATGCATCTTCGCATGGTTAGCCCTTGCACTGGCCAATTATTAATAGCTGCTTGGATGGCCAATTATTAATAGCTACTTAAGATTTTAGCTTTCTAGCATTTCAGACCCCCGAGTTATGAACTTACCCGGGAAAAATTTTGGCAGGCCCGTACGCGGGTACCACGCTTACCCGAAGGCTGGGTTTGAACTCAATAATACCTACTTGGACGGGGAACATCCCCTTAAAATTTCAGCCCCCTATCGCGATCCTAACCGTTAATATTCTCAGACTAGTCTTATGCCCTGTTTGTACAAGTGTGTATGGGTGCGTACGACGCCGTGTCCTATGTACGTGTTTCTTAATACATAGCGTGCTAAAGAAATAATACAAACAAAGGTGGTGACGCTCTGGGGAGCCGAAGTTTCCCAAACTAGGAGTAGAAGCTAAATAAAATAGGTAGCAGTGGTTGATGGGTAGTGGCGATCCCGGCGATGGAGAGGAGTGCTTTTATACCTCAGGGGTTAGAGATCGAAAGTTCAATGAGAGTAGGGTGGCCAAAGTTTGAACCAGAGACAGGGGTATTGCGTCATAGCAGTTGTTCTTTAATCTACTTTTAACAAAAACCATTAATCATTATTTGATCTATTATACGATACCCTAAGCATTTCTGTTTTTCGAATCTTACGTGGATACCACGCGGGTAAGACTGTCCATTTTGGGGATGGGGGCGTGTAGAATAAGTTCCCAAAGTTTCAGCCCTGTAGCTTTTGTGGGTCTTGAAATGAAAAGTCGGTACAGACGCACACACGGACACACAGATACACACATACACACAGACATCCCCTCGT